TCTTATTATTTTAGTTATTTTGCCTTTAATGTAAATAAGCATGTGCAAACAATATACTTGCTCTTTTGAATTTATTTGGATGTTAATTACATTGTGCGAGCTGTCTCTTTAATACCGCGTGGTTAATAGTCGTTTTGAATTGGGCTGACATTTTTGACACACCCACCAAACAAGAGAAAACGCATCTCAAACCCCGTTGCACACCGTTTCCAGGAAACATGTCGTTCAAACCGGAAACCGTAGCAAAACAGTGCGCACCGGTTTGAGCTTGAACTTACCCCTGGTCTTCTGTGCAGAGCGGAAGTAGCCTAGTATTTTATTAGTATTTGATTTTATACATGTGGTTGATATACGGAATCATAATGAAGATCTCATCGAATGACAAAAACACTTGACTTAGCCATTCGTATATTTATTTAAATTATAATAGTTACTAGTCTAGCCTACCTTTCCTTTATGATCATTTAAACATGCAACAATTCGCACAATGCAAAAAGACCTACACATTTCTGAATTGTGTTTTGGGTATTTTTTTTCTTTAAAGATGAAAAATAATAAAACACAGTATCACAATGCCATGTGGAATTTATTAATAAATTATTCTGATAGCAGCAAGAGTTCCATTTCTCAGACAATTAAATCTATCAAAGATGCATGTAAATTCATTTTTTATTTCCATTTCATGTAGAATATTGCATATTAATGTCGAATGGGGAAGGAGGCATAAAAATATCTCTCTCAAAGAATATTGACAATTTGAAGTTTTCCCAAAACTGGGAGGCCTGCCACCCACGTCCCTGCCAGGCCTATCTGTGATATAGCCTTTAATATCACAGAAATATCTGAAATATCTTGTGATATAAATGTGACTGTATTGTTATTTCAGAAACCAGAAAACATCAAGAATGGCACTTGATCTTTTAAACTCTTTTCCTTTACTGCCTTGGCTTGTGAAATCACGTCTTGAAAACGGCAGCTCCATTCTTCTCCATGGACAGAGGGTTCACACTGAGAAAGAAACAAGTGGAAAAAAGCTTTGCAAATATTCAGTGTCCTTCAGTGACATAGCTGTTTGTGTGCCTAACCAGCCACGACTCTTCCAGAAAGGAGTGTAAAGGTGTACTCCTTTAACCCTCTTTGTAAATATTATATTAATAAATATTGTAAATAAACATTTGACTGCTTTTTAGACTACTTAAAATCTCTGATATATTGTTTCCTTAAAAACCCTTTAAAGCTATTTTACCCACTTAAGACATCTCACTCGAACCACCACTATGAATGATATATATATTTTTTTTAATTTAGCTGAAATGGTTTTTGTGTTAGAGGTTGTTTATTCCCACCTTTTTGTTTTCAAATCTGTAACTGTTAAAGCCACTTCATTTTCTGGAGCTCAACCATCCAACACTTTCAACATATACATTTCTTATAGAAGTATCTATACAGAGTATAGAAGTATCCTGTTGAGGATACTTCTATACTCCTCTCTATTGAATTAATGATCCATATTGTTTTTCATTATTATTTGGGTTTATGCATAAACATTCCCAGTCCAAAAAAAAAAAAAATCATTTTAACATGGTGAATGGCTCACATACTGTCCTTTTTGGCCTTTAAACATAAATGCTTTTACTTAAACAATTTGAAGAGACACACTGTAACTCTAAACTGAGTTGTGTTATTTCAGATGTTGTCACATCCCTCAACCTCATCATCATGAGCAGAGAGAAACTTGGCCTTCATTACATTTATTTTCTGATTCTATTTTGTTTTACTTCTTTATATATTTGTTTATGTCTAATGTCAACTGTCATTTATTAAAGTATTATTTTTTCATCATTTTTGCCACAATGTCACATATCAACAAAAAAATAATAGTAGGCTACCTATAACTGACACAAGCAGCTGTTTTTTTTTTTGTAAGCATATGGACAGGCAGGAAAAGGGGTAAAACAATATTAATAAATAATATATAAAATAATGTTAACAATTTAAATGATAATAATATAAATACCCTACACTACGTTTGAACAATAAAAATTGGAGTAGGCTATTGGAGTGAATAGATAGGCCTATATAAAATCATTTTAATAACCTACTAAATAAAAAAGACTGGACATAATTTTAGTCTTATTTTGAATTCTAAAGTAACAATCTTTCATAACGGAGTAGGCTAGAATAAATAATGCATCAGAGATGGTCTAGAGATTAATTACATTAAGATCAATATTACATCCATGTGTGCAAGAGAGACAGAGAGAAAGTTAGAGAGATTACCCTTTCCTCTTGCAGCACGCGGGTCTCCAGACTTTACTTAGTAGTGTGCTCCATAGTGCTGAACAGCCTCTGATATACAATAAAGGGGTCAGAACTGCATTCACCCGTGGCAAAATGCGCAGGGGGTCTGAACCCTCATTTCTGAACGTATAGCACGTAGACCCCGCGAAATTACACACAATAACATGAAGAAAAAGGGGCAACCACGCGATCAGAAAACACACGGCTACTATTATGATTAGATAAATGGACGCGCGCTTGTTGTCGCGTTCCGCGCTCGGCGGTTCGCGTCCTAGCTGAAATTTAGCGATGAAGAACAGTCTGAGGTTCAACCCAATCATGATAACGACGGTGAAAATGTTCGCCACAAAAGTGCCAAAACTCGTGACTCTTTTAGCAACCCCCAAAGTACGAAACTAGTAAGAGGCAGCACTGTGCCGAGAGCCGCACTACTCTCAGAAATATTCATGAGTGATGAGAGTATCAGTAAATAAAGTTACAAGAAAAAGAACAGAGCCATAGCTCAAGCTGACATGTACACGAGTGCACAGAGCGTACATGGGTGCACGCTTTTAAAATGCGCACGAAGATGAAGGTGGTCTCACTAGTTCTCTCACGGGACAGATATGAAATAATATGAAAGCAGCAGGATCAAAACAGCATGCTAAACAGATATTAAAACTTTAATTAGAGCATAAGAATCGGAGGATAATAACTTTTTGTTTATACAGGCGAATTGCTCACTGATGGGTTTCTCAAATCTTAAAGGAATAGTTCACCCAAAAATGAAAGTTTGCTGAAAATGTAATCACCCTCAGACCATGTAGGTGAGTTTCGTCATCAGAACAGGTTTGGAGAATGTAGCATTGCATCACTTGCTCACCAATGGATCCTCAGCGATGAATGGGTGCCATCAGAATGAGAGTCCAGACAGCTGATAAAAACATTATGGTAACACTTTATTTTGATGGTCCCCCAACACATTACTGATTATAAGTAACTTTGCAAGTACATGTCAACCTATTCTACTAACCCTAACCTAACGGTCTACTTGAGAGTAAGTTGATAAGTAGTTGCAAAGTTACTAGTTAATAGAATGTCTGAAGTGGACTACTGAAATAAAAACATACCAACATCTCAATAACCTAAAAGTAATCCACACCACTAGTAGATCAATTAATTGTCTTGCGATGCAAGAAGGAGCATGTTTATAAGAAACAAATCCAACATTAAGATGTTTTAATGTGTTAAGGTGTTTCCAACATTAAGGTTTGTATATTGCATTCCTTATTTACTTGTTCTATATTTTATTTTATTTATTTATTTATATTTTTTATTATCTGTGTTTCTGTTCTGTCACTGTCATTCTGTTGCACTGTGGAACATACCTGGCAATAAAGCTCATTATGATTAACTTAAATAGTCTCTTCTGGCTAAAATACCAGTCCATAATTCATAATAACGTTTCCTCACATCAAAATCCAATTGTTTAGAACTGTTTTGGAATGTTTTCACTTGTAAATGGTGCTCTTGATTTGCATATTTCTCTCCTGATTCAGACAAGACAATTTTTTATCACTGGAGAAAGCAATGTTAGGAATAGAGGACTCATATTCATCTAGCCTACATCTTTTATGTCTCAACTGTCAATTTTCCCCAAATGGCCATTTTTGGGTGTACTATTCCTTTAAAATGTAAACACAAATATTTTTACTAAATAAAAAAAAGTTTGATTGATATGCACATTCATACAATAGTTACATAGCAACACTAACACTAACATTGTAGCAGCAAAAATTCCAGTGAGAGTTTTACAGTTTTACTACTTCCCTGTGATTTTGAAGTAGGCTATGTAAAATATAAACCATCTCTGCCCAGTTCTGCTGCTTTGTTTTGAGCCAGTCACCTGAACCTAAATGCTGTGATGAATCACTCTAGGGCTCCTGAAATCGCATGAGTATGTATGTCTTTTCAAGAAAAATTACTTCTCGATTGTTAGAAAGTATGTTCTATATAGTATGAATGTGAGTAGTATGAATGAAATTCAGTCTACTACATTTGCCATTCTGTCATAGTCATGTGACCTACCAGTGTCAGTTTCTTGTCTTCACAGTCTCATGTGATAGCTAATGCCGAGTTCACACTGCACGATTTTCATTTCACACAGCGTGATTGTGAATCGCCGACAGCTCCAGATATTTAGCATGCCAAATATTTCACCGATTTGCCTCCGATTTCGGGCATTTGTCGGCGATTTCGCAAAATCTGTCGGTGAGTGAAAAATCGGGCTAAAATCGTGCAGTGTGAACTCGGCATAAGTGTCCATTAAAATGCGCACTTCAGAATCGGGCCGGAAGTAGTACATCTGGGTACTTTTCGTCTACCGTTTTATGAATACTATAAATTCAGACATACTCATTTTTTTCACATACTGTTTTTAACAGTTTAGCTACAGCCCTAATCAAACACACTTGAAACAGTTTATTTACATTTACATTTAGTCATTTAGCAGACGCTTTTATCCAAAGCGACTTACAACCCTGTTGAAAAAACCAGCATATGCTGGTTAGGTAGGTTTTGACGCTGGGATGCTGCTTTAAGCTGGTCCTTTGCTGGTTTATGCTGGTCCTTTGCCAGCACATGACCAGCATAAACCAGCAAAAGGACCAGCATAAACCAGCAAAGGACCAGCTTAAACCAGCATCCCAGCGTCAAAACCTACCTAACAAGCATATGCTGTTTTTTTCCACAGGGTGTTGAGAACCAATTTGAAATTCATTGTATATATCATCCACAAAGTGGATGAAGAGTGAGAATGAATGTGCATGACAGAAAATGGGAATGACATGAGTTCAAGATGAAAATATGAAAGCCCAAAAAGAGCCAGGACAGCCCTCAACTCACATTAACTTCTCACAGGTCACATCAAAAGGACAACTGGCCAGATAAGCAGATGAGTTATTACATATTGTTGACTAACGAAAACACGTAAGGTCTCCATTCACAGGTGACAGCAGCTCTATCAATGGCAAGGAATTGTTCACTCCACCATTAAGGACCAGCAAATGTGCTGTTGTGATCAATGATCAGCAAAATGGATGGAGATTATAACATCTGAGTCCAAGCCTCAACTTGAATTACACCAACCATCCTCAGCCCATTGCAACAGCTCGCAAAGAGTCACCCAGGTAAAGATGAAAAGTCCATGGAGCTAATGAGAATTGCTGGTCCTCTGCTGGTTTATACTGGTCCTTTGGTGGTTTATGCTGGTCCTTTGCTGGTTTATGCTGGTCCTTTGCCAGCACATGACCAGCATAAACCAGCAAAAGGACCAGCATAAACAAACAAAGGACCAGCTTAAACCAGCATCCCAGCGTCAAAACATACCTAACCAGCATATGCTGGTTTTTTCAACAGGGAAAGTAGAGGCAATCAGACCAACGAGAGAGCAACAATATACAAGTGCTGTGACAAGTCTCAGTTAGTCAGTGCACATAGCAAGGTGTCTCTTTTTTATAAATACATTAGAACAGAATAGAATAGAATAGGTAAGTGCTAATATTAATTGGTCAGGTGATGGCAAAAAAGATGTCTTTAGGTGTTTTTTGAAAATGGCTAGACTCAGATGCTCGGATTGAGATAGGCAGGTCGTTCCACCAGCTAGGAACAGTCCAGGAAAAGGTCAGTGAGAGTGATATTGTGCCTCTTTGGGATGGCACCACGAGGCGTCGTTCACTTGCAGAAGGCAAGCTTCTGGAGGGTGCGTAGGTCTGAACTAGCGAGTTGGTGCAGCGCCAGTGGTTGTCTTGTAGGCAAGCATCAGTACCTTGAATTTGATGCGAGCAGCTATTGGCAGCCAGTGCAAGCTGATGAAGAGAGGTGTGATGTGAGCTTTCTTCAGCTAGTTGAAGACCACTCTGGCTGCTGCATTCTGAATCAGTTGGTTATCACAGTGCTTAGCATTATACTAAAGGTGTGTTGGAGCAGCTGAAGTCTGCAGAAAAGTAGCCCTCCAGATGTTGGCAACCCTTGCTCTAGGAGCCACTAGATGGGCCACATATGATAGTTGCATTTACTGAGATGATTTTTCAAACAAACTGCTCTACAGTGTATCAATGTGGGTTCATCAAGAAGATTATGGGGGTGCAGGACTGGTGGTAAAACTCTATATGTGGAGATTACGTTGTCATCCATTTATGCCGTTTTGTAAGGTCACAATACGTTAACATCAAGACTCCAACATGAAGACTTTATCTTGGATATTTATAACCTTAACCAATTAGAACCAACAATGGTCAACTAATCCTTTTATTTCACACAATCATTTTCAATTAAGTTGGAAAAATGTGTGTTTACTGTCCAATCTTTTGCTGGTCTTTAGTCTTCTATCACTGCCAGTGTCCTGTTTGTGGCATGTGTCTCGTGTGATCTCATGTGTGATGTCTCAAATTGCATCATTAACAGAAACATATTGTGATCTCTATTTGTTTTTGTGTGTATCTGCCTGATTAACCACAGTAATGATCACCAAACAAGGGATTTTCATCTCCAGTGATCCACTGTTGTGCTGAAGTCTTCTTCCCAAGGGTTAATTTGTATTCCAAAACACTGGTGATGATAAATGGTTCTGACAGTTTTCACCTTTGCATGTTTTAACACAATTAGTCCTGTATTTGGATTTTGTCACTCCTCATAGTCTTATAACTACAACAGTCTCACGGTTTTCCACTTAGGGTATAATTAAGTCACGAATTAGTTAGCTAATATCTTGCATGTGCCAACATGGGGATATCAAGTACACTTGAACGGTTATCAAAGACAAAAACAACAAAACGACTCCTCCAAGAGAAACGATCACAACACACTGTACACAGGTATACATTCAGCTTACCTGACACCATAATAGGAAAAACTGGTTTTGCTTCAGGGACCAAATTTTACATTGGACATCAAGTGACATCTGTAAAAAAGGAGTAAATGAAACATTAACATGAACTGGAACAAACTGAAACAATCACTAGGCCAAATTTAGAGTTTTTTAAGAATGAGGGCAAAAAAAAATTTCATCCTATGGTTTTTCTAAAAATATCAAATGGAAAAAGGCAGACACGGAACTAAGGTGCATTTAATCACTTTAATCCCAGTGATGGTAACATTATACACATTTTCAACATTCACAACATCTCAAAGGCATAACAATTCATATGCAGCTGAGCAACAAAGGCGTTAAGCTTTGCCTTCTACTGGTCATCCAGTGGTCGCCACATGCCTTCTATATAAATTATTTAGTAAAGTGCCAAGCTGGGTTGATAATTTACTTGAATATTCAGCAGTAATATTCAGAGAAACCACAGCACCAAGCTACTGATAAAGATCCAGCTTTATATAAATCATGCTGTTTTATCTAATCTCTTTGAGTGTCATAGTACATGTACATCTGATATGAATGAAACTGACAAGTGGGGCTATTATTGTACATATTGAGTTAAAAAGCAAACCGTTATGATCACAAAAACATTTACTAAGAAGCCATTCACACAGAAAGTGTTTTTTCATTTAAAAACGTGGAATGTGGAATGAAAAAACACAAGATCTTTGAATGTCTTTTAATGTGGCACTGCATTCTAAAAATGCAGTGTTTGTGTTTTTACGGCAAAAGAGTCAATGGTCAATAATGTCCATCTAGTGCATGTTTATACAGAAAAACAATGGAGTAGAATGCAAAAACATGTTCATTGTGAACGGCCCCTAAAAAGTAAAAATAACAAAACTAACAGTGGAGGACTGTGAAAAACCATGAAAATTATGTCTATGATAATAATTTAAAATAAATAAATACATCAGAAGAAAGTTAATGCCTAAGTTAACAGTCCAAACAATCAGAGATAACATTACAACACAAAATTTTCCATGTGTACTACACAAGTAGGAGTGCCATCATGAGAACAGAACTGGAAGTCACCATTCCATGTTACAACAAAATAATAATGGTTTGTTGTAATTGCTGTTGCCAGTGGAAAACAATAAGTCAAATGACAATGCCATGCACAATTCTGTTTAAATTGGAGATAATAAAGGGTTCATGCATTATGCTGTCTTAGAAGAGAAGTTAATGTTCACCAAAACACATGCAAGAAGGTGGCAGTGATGGGTGAAGGTGAACACTGTAAAAAGTAATTGTATGCTAATGTTTTAGCTCCTTTGGAAATTGCTTTGAAATTTGGGCTCATGACAAATTGTTAGGTGGCTCATGTTGCAATTTAGTAGAGTAACTTTACAGAAGTCATTGTGAGAAGCTCTTTCTGTTGAATCTTGAAGTAGTCTTTCAAGAATACTTTGTCCAAAGTTTCTAAGCATCCAAGACAAATTCCTCAGATAACATCTGATGGGTGAGAACGGTCCATTTTTCAGTCTGACTCAATGGCTTTATGTGTAACCTTTTCCAGAATATCAGTGTAGAAGGGAAATGAAGATGAGCGACAGAATGCTAGTAAAGAGTAGCATGACTCCATGGCCAAAGGGTCCAGGTAAGTCACCGCTACTATTGCTGGTTTTATCATCTATGTTACTGCGATCCTGCACCTGTTTTTCTGCATGCTTTTCCGCATAGACCATGTACAGCTCGACACAACGTCGTGCTTTCATTTGCTTAATGAGCGCAGGATAGCCGATCTCCATAATGCTAACAGTGTCATCTTCATCACCGTCAGCTTCTGCTTTTCTTTCCTGGGTCTGCTCTTGAGGTTGACTGTGTGTTTCGGGCGGCTTTGAGGTTACGAATAAAGAGCTTCCGGATGTGTCCCTTTCTGCAGTGCTGTTGTTGCTTGTGGCGTTTTCTTGAGCACCAGTAGGATCATCGGCTACTTCTGCTGCTTGAGCCTCAACAAAGTCAGTGGATCTCCTCGATCTTCCTTCCGGTTTCTCTCGGAGCAAGTCTGTCCTCTTCACACACTTGTCCATGAAGCTATCATAGGACTGCGGTGGAGGATTCTGGAAGATGTCATGAGGGTTAACGTTTCCTTGTCCCGCAGAGGCCGATCCTGCATTGCCAGGATTTCCACCTTGAGTGTTAGAGTTTCCGTTCACGTTACTGTCAGGGGGAGTTTGGCCGTAACGTCTGTACATGTAGTGATTGTAGTAGTATTCCTCCTGCGGGCTGTGGAAATTGAAACGGGGGCGAGGGAAACTTCCGAGGCCATATCCCAGAGCCATACCAGCCACCGCCCCAGCTCCAGCAGCCAAAATAGCCTGCTTGCCAAACCCCTTTGATTTATATGAAGGGGCCATACCCATGTTATGCACTGACTGGGCGAAAGGTGATCTGCCGCCGTACCCATAACTACCGTAGTTGCCGCCGTAGCCTGGGCTCATGATTTTGTTGTTGGGGTTCCAGTAAGGATATTGCGCCGCTGCTGGATATCCACCTGCACCTGCAACACCTCCACCAAACTGGTTAGGGCTGGAACCTCCCCGGACTGGATAACCTGGATAAGAGCCTCCAGCTGGGTAACCACCTTGTCCTGGGTAACCACTACGCCCTGGGTAGTTACCTTGTGGATAACCACCTTGAGCTGGATAACCACCTTGGGCCGGGTAACCACCACGCCCTGGGTAGCTTCCTTGGTTAGGGTATCCTTGACCTGGGTTAGAGCCTGCTGGTGGATATCTGCCCTGCCCCGGATACCCGCCTCCAGTACCAGGGTAGGGGGGTGGATTCTGGTTTGGTGCTTGAGGTTGGCGAGGATAGTTTCCAGGGGACGAGTGTGTCCCATGTGATGAAGTGCCTTTATTGCTACTGCTGCTGCCACTTTGGCTTCCTGTGCTGCTTCCACCTTTGTTTGAGCTTCCCCCACTTTTTCCCCAACTGAATCCGCCTTTACCGCCACCTCCTCGTCTGGCCACAACTGATACCACAAGAGCCAGACAGAGTAACAGTACTGTTAGGCGACCCATTTCTGTTGAAAAAGAGAGAGAGGTTCAATGAAAAGCGATCATTTTCAAAATTGTCATTTGAGGTATTTCAATTATGCCAGGCACACACTGCATAATTTTAGCCCCGATTTTTGTGGCACAGTTTTGTTGTCACAGTTTTGTGGAAATCGCAGACAAATGCTCGAAATGGTGGCAAATCGGTGCTCGTCGCACATGAGTAACAATCGCATATTATGCGTTATCAATGACGCAATCTGAGAGAAGTGCCAATGTGTCTCAGATGCCCGAGAGATATTTGGCATGCTAAATATCTGGACCTGTCGGCAACTCACAGTCCTGCAGTGTGAAATGTATTTTGACTGGAAATAGGGCTGTGCAAAAAATCAAATGCAATTTTCATGCTCATCTCGTCAGTAAAGGCGGTTCTGTGATTAGTAATAAATCTCCAGCACGTGCTTTCAGATGGAGCGGCATTTACTACACAGAGCCGTAGATCACTGACAAGCTATCACAGAACCGGCTTTACTGACGAGATGAGCATGAAAATCGCATTTGATTTTTTGCACAGCCCTAACTGGAAATGACATCGGCAACGACCTGCAACAAATGAGAGAACAAGATACAGGGCAAGGGAAAGTTCAGGGGGAGAAGTCATAATAGACCTGCAACAGAACATCAGCAAGCAACCACTCTCTCCTTCACAGTTTTTGACAGAAATAAATCCATTCTTGTGTGAGAATGCCTGTCTCTCGTGTGATCTTACATTATTTCCTGTCTCAATTCTTGTTTGTGTTTGGTTGTGAAACGTAGTTTGTAGACAAGGTGGAGTTGTTTGCGATTCTTCCTAATGAAAAGTTGTGTAATGTGTGACCCACTGTTGCTGATCCGTCGTGTAGTGTGCACACAACAGCAACTAGGCTACATGATACCCCAGACAGTCATGCGGTGTGAGAACAGCAGCAATCCAATGACTTTGAAAGTCATGCGGTGTGAACCCGGCATTAGATTCACATGTCATTTACACACATTACCACTGCCAGAAAGTCAGGAGAGAGGTTATGACCAGCAGAAACAGAAAGGTCTTCACTGACCAAAACATTTTTGCTTTTAGGCCCCAATCAGACAGAACGCGTTTTTCAGGTTTGAAAACGTGAGGAGCACCGCACTGCCTTTTTTTTGGTTTACTTTTTTTTAATTTAGAAAAGAGCAGTGCGCTGCGGTTTGTTTATGTTTCTAGGCAACCACTAAATCGGCTGTCCTGTCAGTCTAATCAAGGATTATAGCGCGAGCGCTCTAAATCTTTGGTTTGCTGTTAAGTAAACTGTCATATTAGTAGAAACAGCTCCGGATATCCCGCGACAGCCACCACAAGTTTCTCCTCCATCATTGCAGTCTCCAGTCTTTCCATGCAACTGTAAACTTTCGTCACAACGGAAGACCCACCTCTCGATTCATTCGATTGGACAATGGAAAAAAAAAACGTGAATGACAACGGGCACTTTTCTGCTCAGAGTTGCTATTTTTCAACATCAGGTGCTCAGAGCACTCCTGCAAAAACGCGAGGCGCAGCAGGCAGCTAAAAATCACTGCCATAGCAAACAATTTAAAAAAGGTGCCTCTCACTGCAAAAAACGTGTTCTGTCTGATCGGAGCCTTAAATGGCATCTCAAATTAACGTATCTGTGACAGCTAGCCATTTCGAACTGCATCATACTTGTAAAGAGGATTGGCTCATTCATATGAATCTGGTTATCAACTTCTTGTAGTACATATAAACACATTCACTAAATTGTGTAAATATATGCATGTAAGACACTATTTAAAGCTCTAGAATGTGCAGTAGGTAAATGAAAGCTGGGTGGTCCAGAATGAACGAGGTGTTTTACTTTTAACCTCTTGAGGAAAGTAAATGAAGAAATTATTCATAAAGCACAAAATTATACTATCCTCATTGAGCTACATGAACTTTTCCTGATTAACATGACATATGTTAGCGATACAGACTAATTAGATTTAGAAAAATGTTAACACTCCAAAGAGAAAGGAAAAAATGAAATCGCATCATATGACCCCTTTAAAAGTGTGTCAGTGTATAAATCCATATAAAAGAGGCAGGGGCTATTTGACACAGGGACTATATCTCAGTAACTAAAACGTTTTGAGTCGAACTTCCAATTATATAAAAGCTTGTTTTCTTTAGCATGATTTCAGTTTTCAAATGGTTCCACCTTTCAAATTAAAATTCCAGCATTGTCATGTTTTTATAATGGTTAGGGTAACAAATGAACACATTAAAACTACACTGAAACACATTCAAACATAATGAAAGATTTGAAGGGAAATTAAGGCCTTTAACTGAACTGCAATCTCAGTACAAGGGCATTTCCCATAAGTGTTAGGGTGGGGCAAGTTGTCACTTGTTTATAAAAATGTTAGAATTCATATAATTGATTAATTACACTATGTTGGTCAACACAATGGTTGAAATTTTGTTACCTTATATTTTTGCCCATTGTGACAATTTTCTCCATACATTGTGACAGCATTCCCTGCTACAGGGTCAATTTGAACCGTTTCCATTTTTATCCCATGGTAATAACGATGTAAACGTTTATAGTGATTTGGAGTCCAGAGTATATAGTTTGTGTCTGTATAAAATTTGGCTCAAAAATAATCCAATCTTAACAAAATTTTACTGGAGTAAAAACGTGACAACTAGCCCCGGTCACACCTACAGTGCTCAGATTTATGTTAACAAAAGGCGTGGCGTCATCCTGTATTATTTCACAATAATTCTTTAGTTTAACAAGTTAAGACAGACCAGTTATCACGTTCAACTGAGTATCTTAGTACCTGCGTGACTAAACGTGTAACGTTACTGACAGGAATGAAAACAGTAGTGAATGTATGTGTGTGTGTGTGTAACGTTATGTCTCATTGTTCAGAGGCCATTTCCGACATGTATTCATGGCTTTACATCAAGAATTAAATCTAAGTATTCAATAAAACGGACCATATCAAACTAAATTCAATATAACATCGTCATTAACATTTTTTTTTTTTTTTCCTTTTATACAACATATTACTTAATTATTCAAAACATGAGCGAGGAATGCATTGTATATAATATGTAAATATGTGTAGTGTCGAGATGCCAATTTATAATCAATCTAAACAACACCAGGCCGCTAGTCGCGTGTAAATTCTCAAACGCTTTAAATAGCGGGACTATATTGGGCGTGTAACCGTCAACTGCACTTGTTATTATAAAGCAAAACCAGTAGCTACAATAAACCAGCGAACCAATCATAACGCAAACAGCTCTGTTTACTCTAATAATACGCGTGTTTTAATCGCTAGCGTACCTTCGTGTTGATTTCAGCGCGTTCTCCCGGTGATTGTTGTCCCTTGGCTGCGCGACGACGTCAGTGACGACCGTAGACTGTGTGACGACGAAACTTTCCACTGGCTTGTGCGCTCGCGAGGAGAGTAACTGGGACCATCTGCGCATGCGTATTGGCCGTAATCCTTCCTCTGACGCAATTTACCAGAACTGTTGTGGGGATTCTGGGCAGACCCTAATATAATTATTCATTAAGCAAATGCTTTTTCTCAACATATCCTTTCAGGTGTCTATCAAAACATTTTACAGCCAGAAGTACACATGTATGCAACAGGTTTCCATGTCACTATCATGTCTTTATTGAATAATTTAACTCTAAAAATGGCAAAACCTCAAAGAGACATCAGAAAATTAATTTATTGCTTTTTTCCATCTTATTGGAACTCAAAAAATTAAATTTCATGATTTTTTTTTTTTTTTTTTGGAAACCTGACTCTTATTTTATATTTTAATGTTTGTATCCCCCAGGATATGTGGCTTTTTTGGGACTATTTACTGAAAACAGAACATTTGTTTATCAATGCTTGTTACAACATGGTTGTAATTCCCGAGTGCTTTGGAATACAGACCTAAGTTTGGTCTCTTTTTAAAGACGACACATAGTAGATTATTGCTGAAGTGAAAGCATTTAAAAAAAAAGAAAGTATCATAAAGTTATAAAAGTTTAAGTTTACAGTAAAGATATTGTAGTATACTATTTTTTTGTATTTTATATAATATAAATATTTGATAAAATATGTTGCACTCTAAAATTGCTATAAAATCAAAGCCATATGTCTAACCAAGTTATGTTCCAAATTTGAAATTTATATCACAACAGTTGTGGTTCCTGTGAGATTTTGTTTGGGCACTATACCAAAAATAACCACTGGGTTACACCCATACTCTACAGAACTTGTTTTTTTTTTTGGGACGTAGTTGTCTGTCAAAAATCTATCATTTTCTGCCACAGTGTCGCTTCTAATACAAAATAGCTACCAAATATGGAACCTTGACTGTCAGACCTTTCCAACAATATGTTTTATCAAGATTACAAAAAGATTTGATTTTCTAAAACACAAGTGACAAAATCAGAGTCAGTCTATATATATGCTTTTATATCTTGATTTATACCCCTAAAAGGGCGACATATCCCCTGAGATACAAACATTTAGAGACGTAAAGAGACATTTAGATGTAAACCTAATAAGTTAATGGTGAACAACAGCTTGTCGTCTCCAACATGTGTAAATATGTGAACTAGTGTTGCACGATATACCGGTACTAAAAAGGTATCGCGATACCATGCTTTTAAAAACGGTACGATTCCGCATTTTTAGTAGTACCTGTGAGATTTTGCATTTAAGAAAATGCATTTAAGAATGCATTTTAATAAGAGATATATTTCCTAAATAAAACACTGTTTATTTAGGGCCCTATGATTAATGGAAAACAGATTCCATCCGCGAATCCCGGGATCCAGTCATAAAAACGGAATATCACGGAATTTGCCTATTTAAAAATGAATCCTGCACCTTCAGCACGTCTCTGTATGAATCAATGGCGCAGACACACGGTTTCGTTTACTACACACATACTGAAGCGCGCGTGACGCTCGCGGTGTTTTCAGCCTCTGCCGCCTCAATATGTGAATACATGAACAAATGAACATAATCTCTAGAACTGCTGTGAGAGTCACTTCATGAGCATTTTACTGTTACTTTTGAGAAAAACATCTCGGTTACGCATGTAACCTTGGTTCCCTGAATAGGGAAGGAGATGCTGCGATGACATCATCGCTATGGGAACACCTCCGGTGTGATGAATGTCTGAAGCCCTTATACCATCACGCCAATTCATTGGCCAAATAGCGCTTAGCACCGCCCCCGACGCGTATGTACGTAAGCTATATCAGTGTGCTGCGCGCTATTTCATCAGATTTCCACTTGACGAAGGAAGCGCTATCAAAGGTACGGAACGGCCCGCATCGCAGCATCTCGTTCCCTATTCAGGGAACCAAGGTTACATTCATAACCGAGATGTTCCCTCTCATAGGTTCACTTCAATGCAGCGATGACGTCATCGCTATGGGAACGCTATACCATAACGCCTTACGTACCTTTAGATAGCTGGAAGACCAGGGAAAGCGTCTGCTCAAGCGAATAAGGAGCCGTCCTCATGTCCAGACTGTAGAACTTGATGAAGGTGCTAGGAGAGGACCATCCTGCCGCAGCACAAACATCTTCCATCGAGGACCCTTTGAAGAAGGCCTGAGAAGAAGCCACTGCTCTCGTAGAATGAGCACGCATCCCTAAAGGCGAAGTCAAGCCACGCGCCTCATAGGCCAGAGAGATAGCCTCCACTATCCAATGTGACATTTGCTGTTTGGTGACAGCAGAACCTCTGCTTTTACCACCAAAACACACAAACAACTGGTCAGATCCACGCCACTGAGCTGTGCGGTCGACATAGATCCTTAGTGCCCTCACTGGGCAGAGACTCAGACTATCTGACCCTGCATCAGCAGGGGAGAAGGCCTCTAAGACCACTTGCTGAAAGCGAAATGGAGTCAAAGCGACCGTAGGAACATAATCAGGCCTAGGTCGAAAACAGACTTTAACCAGCCCTGGGGCAAAGTCCATACACGAAGGGCTGATGGAGAGAGCCTGCAGATCCCCTACCCTCTTAAGGGAGGATAAAGCCACCAAAA